CGGCTCGTGTTCAGCTTCTCATCAACCAGTACCTCCAGGTCCTTCTCCTCAGGGCTGCTGTCAATCCATTCTCCTCCCAGCCTGTATCTGTGCTTGGGATTTCCTCGACCCACATGCAGGACCTTGCACTTGGCAACCTTCATGAGGTTGGCACGGTCCCACCTCTCCAGCCTGTCCAGGTCCCTCTGGATGGCATCCCTTCCCTCCAACGTGCTACCACACCCACAGCTTGGTGTCATCTGCAAACTTGCTGAGGGTGCCCTCGATCCACTGTCCATGTCTCCAACAAAGATGTCAAACAACACTGGTCCCAGTACCGACCCCTGCGGAACACCACTTGTCACCGGGCTCCACTTGGACATTGAGCCGTTGACCGCAACTCTTTGAGTGCGGCCGTCCAGCCAGTTCCTTATCCAGAGAGTGGTCCTTCCGTCAAATCCATGTCCTTCCAACTTAGAGGCAAGGATGTCATTTGGGACAGTGTCAAAAGCTTTGCACAAGTCCAGGTAGATGATGTCAGTTGCCTTTTCTCTATCCACCAGCGCTGTGGCCCTGTCATAGAAGGCCACCAAATTCGTCAGGCCCAATTTTCCCTTGGTAAAGCCGTGTTGGTTGTCACCAATCACCTGCTTGTTTTCCATGTGCCTTAGCATAGTTTCCAGGAGGATTTGCTCCATGATCTTGCTGGGCACAGGTCATGTAGGCTAGAAGATGGGGCCTCCTTAGCTTTTTCATCATGGCATCACTTCAGGCAAATAAAATTTAAGCTTTTTTCTCCTGGTTTGTGGAATTGGGAGTGATGCTTTGTTGCTGTTTCTGTAATGCATAAAGACAATCAAACATCACTGTCAGTATCTTTTTTCTAAGACTTTTCTACTTGATAATTGTCTTATTTGGTGATAAACTGTGCTTGGATTTTTATTTAACGAGCTGTGTTTTAACTAACTAGTTTTTATACATATGTTCAAAATATTTGAAGACTGCTCATTAAATCGGAGTTGTTCAGATATTGGACCCTTTTTATAGATTGAATTTTTCTTTTAGGTTTAGAAGTAAAGAAATACTACTTAAACTTTTCCTGCTTTAAAAGGTTTTATGGATGGAAACATCATGATATTCAGAACTTTCCTAATCAAAAAGTCCTAAGAGATGAATGAATTGACCTTTAAAAATTGTCATGTGTTCTCCTTCCAGGTGTCAGCAGTGGACTCCTTGGAGGGTCCCCTTCTTCAAGTGGAGGGATTGAGTGATCTGAGACTGGAGCTCCACAGTAAGAAGATGAACATGCACTTAGTCTTGATAGACGAATTACACCGTCATCTCTACATCAAATCTACTAACCGAGTAGGACAACGCAGCAGGGAGAAAGGAAGAATAAGGTGGGTTTGGTGTCATGCTAACTGAGGGCAACAGGTTTGGTAGGGAAGAGGACAACATTTTCCCTTTCACAAGTAGAATCTTTCTTGGGAGAATGCCATGGACTTACACCTCGAACTTTCATTTTTTTGGCAAGTGAATTTCTCATGTTCGTGGCTGCGGAGAGCACAAGAACTCCAAATATGTTGATGCACCTTCAAGCCTGTGAACAGTCTGTTCTTGTTCTTTCACTTTTGCTTAGTGATTCTGTTGGGTTTTTGCTGCTTCACACAGAATTGTGATGAGGTCAATTCCTCTTAGCATTCTTTCCCTTTTCTGCTGCATATACCTTTCTACAAATGTCATGATCACGAGGCTCGGGTCAGGCAAAGAGGGAAGAGCACAGGGAAAAGTTGCTTGTCTTTTCTAGCAAATGTCCGAGGTTTAAAATACTTTCAGCTAACCATAAGGTTACTAGCTGGAGGCCACAATACTGAAGTACCTGAGCAGTGTCTTGGCTTTGTTCTCTTTCTAAGGTTTCTGTTTAAAGATGTTGAAACTTCTTACCTGGTTGGTGCCACTGATAGTGGAAGTTCAGCGTAAGTATAGGTCACTGGCTATTTTTTCCTGATTTTTTTGAATTCTGAGTTTGAGGGCAATAGCATTGTTAGGAGGGAAGGAAGAAAGATAGTGGCCAGAGAGGAGAGATGTGGTATTGGAAGACAACTTTTGTAGAGTAGGAGAGGTAAGAAAAGAGGGTGAGGAGCAAGAGGGGAGCCAGCATAGGATAAAGATGCAGAGAAAAGATAAATTAGCATTTTATTATGAGAAGGAATAAAAAAATGCTTACCAAAAATAAGAGGAGAGAGAGGGTAAGTTACATTAAATGGATTTATGAAATAAAGGATTGATTGAAGTTGAAATTTCTCGGAAGGAGGGTTGCTAGCAAGTCCTCAGTTTCTTCCTTACTCATCTTGTTAATTAAAAATAGACACAAAGCTTTGGTGTACCCAGACTACACAACTGCTAATTAACTGCAGTTCTGTACGGCTGCTGCAGGGATCCTTTTTTTCTGTCTTTTTCCACATTCCCTATTGCACATCATTGATGTTTGATAATATGAACTCTTGCATCAAGGATGCTCTTGTTGCTTTGTTTTACTGTGCTGCCCCAGACTGGCTGTTGACCAGGGTGCAATGATGGTTATTGTTATTTGTTATACTGGTTTTAAGTGTCTTCCATCTAACAATGCGAAGCTGGAATGGATAGCTAATCCCTGTAAGTATGGTATTGTAGGTGTATAGGGACTATAAGTGGTTCTTGAGCAGGATAGTAAGCTTAGCCCTTGTTTTTGCAAGTTTCTGAACTCCACTAAAGGAGCCTTCTCCAGTTTTTTTTCTCTTAAAAATGTTTTCTTGTCTGAATTCCCATGCTGCGTCCAGCTTCATACCTTTCATTATGCAGCTGGGGTAGCGTGACACATTTTTGGCAAAAAATACTGTGTAAATTATATTATGAAAATAACCAAATAAGTTTTTCTTTTCAGAGTAGGAAGCTTAATTTGGAGATGCATGTAGGTATGCACAGAAGGAGGAAGAAAGGTGGAGGTTTCTAGTGCGAGCTAGAAAGGCTTGAAGGGTTTAGTAGGTGACAAACAGTGGAAATGGGAGCATCTCTTCTCATCAGTATGTGGTTTTCCAGAAAGATCTTAATTTATCATCATACTAGCAGTAGTTGGTTGTGCTGGAGGTGAATGCTGTGGCAAGCTCCAATGTGCCTGTGCCCTGATTGTGTTGCTGCGACCAGTCAGACAAGTCTGGAGTGCTGTTAAATTCAGAGGGGCCTTAGGATAGCAAAGTTTGTCTTTGAGGTGACTATGTTCCCTTATTGCTTTTTTGGCTTTTTCCCTTTTCACTCTAATGTGTGTATATGCACATGCATTGTATTCAGCTGCGGACTTGTGCTTTAAGTCAGGTTTTGTAAACCTCTTGTATCAAAACTGTGTGTTATGTATATTGCTTAGGCTTACAAATTTTGGAAAGAAATGGATTATTTGTTGTGAACTAAGACTGTAAATAATAATAAACTGCTTTTTAATTCTTGTTCCTCACACAGCTCACTTGTGAAAGATACTTCTCCTGTGCCTCTTATGGATGTTACTAACTTGTCTACACCTCGAAAGTTCCTTGAAACTTCCCAGTTCAATACTCCTGGAAGCTCCAGCAGTGAGTATTTAATTCATATGCATTCCTCCCAGAATTAATTTGTAGGAAGTGTTCAAGGCCAGGCTGGAATGAGGCTTTGAGCAGCCTGGGCTAGTGGGAGGTGTCCCTACCCATGGCAGGGGGGTTGAAACTAGATGATCTTTAAGGTCCCTTCCAACCCAAAGCATTCTGTGATTCTATGATCTTCAGCTGGTTTTGCAAGAGTAGTTAGTAGGCATATCATCCCCTCTTCGTGGATTGCTGCTGATGGGAGCTCCTGAGACAAAAAGTTAAAGTGATTTATGCGATGTCATGAAATGAGTGAGTGGTATGTTCAGGGGCAGAACTTGCCCATAGCTGCCTTTTTCTCTTGGCAAGTCATCCTTCCTCCCTCCTCACCCTCCTCATCAACTTCAATTAAATACACTTAGTTTCTGTGCCTGCTCTGATCTTGATTGTGTTCTTGATATCTTGGGCAGAAGGGAGATCTGCAGTCAGTTCAGTTTGCATAGAGGTCTCCTACATTATTTAGAGTAGACAGGCAGGTATATGTAGATATTGCAGAAGTTTTTTTGCTGTGTTGGAGCCAAAAGTTCAAAGGTTTTCCTTGTGGGAAGCTTGTAACTTTGAGTAAAGGTTTGTCTATACACAGGAGTAATCTGGCAATGAACACTGAGCAAAACACTCTGTTCCATTTGACTTTTTTATGAGGCTTTGAAAGTGCTGCACAGATGGGGAATTAATCCTTGTATTGTTTCAGTAGATTAAGGGGTTGTCCTGTTGTACAAATGAGTAAAATGGGTAATACAGAAGTGACCTACATCTCTCCCTGCCTTCCTTTCAAATCTTGACTGTTTCAGCATTCCTCAAATGTAGAGAATCTTTCCTTCTCACCCTTATTAATTCTTTTGTCCTTATTTTTGTGTGCTTGTTTCTGGTTTTTCTTGGCATGCTTGCCTCCTAGACTCTTCTGTTTGTTCATTCTTTTATTTTGCTCTTGTAGGAGTTTTGATTATTCAGCCCTGCTCCTGTAGGGTTGGCTCGTCTCAGAGCCTGAGGCTGTATTTCTGCATGGTGGAGGTTTGTGAGGAGTCACCGGTGACATGCCAGTGTAAACTTCCAGAGCTGGAAACTCTGCAGCTTTGTCATGGAAACCTGGAAGAGAAGAGCCATGTGAAAATTCAGGCAAAAATTACTGTGAACTCCTGTTCTATGTGTGTGATCAGTGAGAAGTTCATTTTCTTGCTAAAGGAGGAAATAAATAACAGAAAACTGAATCCCAGTCTCACCACTGTAGATGGTAACCTAATTCCTCTTCAGTGAGTTAGCTGTATAGTGTCTGCCATTATTTTCAACCTAAACTATTAGTTCTCTATATAGTAAGAAAAAAAAATCTGAAGTTATGGAGCTGGTGGGGATCTCCCATCACACCTTCGGAGGGGAATATCCCTGTGTATCAATTTTCAGTATATATTCTTGTACTGAACTGACTGATCATTCGTGACAGCCTTGCCCAGCATGATTGACTTTGTATGATAACAAGGTTATCTAGGAATCAACATTGTCATCCTGTCCATAGACTCACAGTTGTTGGTTACAGAAGTCTTCTGAGGAGCAGAACCAAAAATAACCAACTTTGGTTTTGAGGTAACGTAACTGCTTACCTTGCTGCACTTGGAACCAAATCTGAATTCCAGATTTGGATAAACCTTCTCCAAAATGAATTAAAAGTAAGCCTGGGTTATCCATCTGACTGGGATGTCTATAAACTTCCCTAAGATGACTTCTGCAAAGCCTGAGTGATGCGCATTATATGAGATAAGAAGGTAAACCAACATGTGAAGGATGCCACTTCAATAAGGAAGGAACAAAGTGCAAGATGTTTAGTTTGATTCCATTTGTTTTTGGCAGAGTTGAGGCCAAGAGTCTTCAACCATCTTGTATTTGGAATAGGACGTGGGACCTTTGTGTACTAGCTCCAGTGAGAATAGGGAGGCTTGGGATTTGCTTACGTGTGCCATTCAGACAGTTCTTACACAAGTAGTGAGACTGTTTTTTAAATAAAAAAAAAGATTGTTGCCTCTTTTTTTTTTAGTGGTTCCCCCCGCAGTAACCTGGGCAATGTTTCAATGTGTAAGAAGAGAAGAAGATGTGATATTAATCACTTGGGATAGCAGAACATGAAGTGGTACTAGCATTCTTAGAGTGTAGCTAGCTAAGTGTTTTCTGATTCATTTGAGGCTTCTAAAAATCATTAAGTTCTATTTTTATTTGCTTGATGAAATGTTGATGGTGTTTAAAATCACTTGTCTTAACGTGCCTGATAAACAGGTTTTTCATACTGTGTTTGAATGAAGGCTCCAGGGTATGAGCAGCAGGTAAGAACCATAGGAGCAGCCTGTAAGATCTGGGTGCTTTGTGAACATAAGCCATCACTTCTTTGACTCCAAATGCCTGAAAACAAAGGCTCTGATGGCTTCATCCTAAACTCCAGTTGTCCCTGCCCATGGCAGGGGGGTTGGAACTCGATGATCTTTAAGGTCCTTTCCAAACCTAACAACTCTATGATTCCATGATAAATCAGTATAGGTCAGTTGAGAATCTGCCTAAAAATTCTCATTTTTGCAGATCTGTTCTTGCATTTCACGCCCAATGCACCAGAAAATGCCTGCCTGGCTCCTTGTTACACTCTGTACCAGTCAGTGAAGTGCTGGGCAAGCGTCCCTCAGACTGGGAAAGATCTAGATTATAATAGAAAACATTTGATCAGCATAAAGTATGCATATGGTTTTGTTTCAAGTGCACAATGTACTTATGTATATTTTTTCCATGTAATTTTATTTAAAAGTGGCCTTTTCCAGCACTGCAGAACTATAGAGAATTTAAAACTTATGTGTATGCATAACAAAAGCTGTTTCTGCCTTAAGTCATTTAAGTTTTTTGGCTTTTTATTGATGAAACTAAGTGGCTGTGCATATTAATGCATGTCATTATAAAGCACTGACTCATTCAGCCCATCTCAGCAAAGGTGCCAAAATCTGACTCCTTTCTGCATTCGCTTCCCAAAGGAGATGTTACCTTGTGCTGTAGAATCTTTATAAGGAAATTAAAGCTGTTCCTGCTGCACTTAAAATAAACAAAACCTTCAGTAACGTTCACCTGAGGATTGGAGATACAGCAGTTCACCAGTAACGTTTTCCCTTCATGCCAGTTCAGAGAAATAAATTCACTTTTAAATTATATTTCTCTGCTTGAACCTTCTGTACTCTGAAGAGTATTTATGAAGGTTCCTGCGTTGCCAGGCTCTTCCTGGAACTATAGAACACGTTCACCCAGCACATAGCGAACCCAAGAGCGCCCTTTCCTGAAACATTCCTGAGAAAACTTTTTAGAAATCTGCCAGAAGGTGAGCTGAGGTGGTGACAATTAATATTGTTAGTGATGGCATATATATACATTTTATGCTGAACAGATAACGTACTTCAGTGACCCATACATCTGAGCTCGAAGAGAAAAATGCAGCTTCTAGATCCAAGCAGTGTGGTGGCTTCTAAGGTCGAGTCTAGTTACTGCTCCTGGCTCTGTTTCTTCAAGAATGCAAGTACTTGTGTGGAGGTGGAGACCTGTGAACTTGGCTCCGCAAAATACCTGCGGGTGCCAGAGTTTTAAGGTCCAATTTTAAATGTGGCTCTAAAAAAGCCGTTGTGGCATTCTCTATTTCTTGTCACGGTTGCTTCCACTTCAAACATGCTCAACAAATATCTCAAAGATATTTTGTCTGCTATTAACCTCACCTGACGATGTGACCACCTGGGTGGGTTTTTTTCTCTTTCCTTTGTACTAAAAATTAAATGATTCCCTCACTGGACCAGAGTTTTCCTGTTTGGGCTGGTTTGCATTTGCACAAATCCAACTGAGGACTTGATCGGAAGGCGGTGGGAATCCAGCGGGGAGGCTGATTCTCTCCTGCTGTCATCTCAGTGCTGCACAAAAAGCACAGTCTGCTCTTATCTCAGGGTAAATTTTTGTGCCTAGAATGTGCAAGAGGAAGTCTGTTTCTGCACTTCAAGGAGAGTTTGCAACTACACAAAAAACACAAAAGCCTGTGAAGTAACTTTGTGTGTGTGTTTTTGTAGGACCATGATTTCTCTCGCTGATCCTCACTAATGGTTTGTGTTCTGACTTGACGCTGAGCACTGATGTGTGTCATCTCTGTGTGAGTCTGGGGAAGGAAAGGGAAAATTGATATTTTAGGTCCATGTAATAAAAGCCAGAAGAGTAACGTGTAGTCACTCTTCTTGTATAATTTCATTAGTTGTTCCTGTGTGTGGTCCCAACGTGAGATGCTTGACTACCGTGCACTTTTTTTTTTATTTGAAGACTTAGTTTTCATACTTGTTTGTATTAGGAGGATTTTGAACGTGGCTTACAGAGTTGCTTTGTACAGTTTTTTCCAAATGTTGTTGCCATGGATTTGAAAGAGTGGCCGTGTTAAATTAAAATGCCTCTGTTTTTGAAAGACTAACATCCTTAAAACTGTAGATGTAACTGTGTGAACAACAGTTTTGGAAAGAAAAGATTTGCCATGAGGCTTTGAGGTTATTGATCTCTGAGATCCATTTTCTTCTGGGCTTGGCAGTAAGGCAGAGCAGAAAATGACCAAAATCTTTAAAGGACCCATTCCTAAAGTGACAGTCCATTTGTTGCTCATCCGCATGGGTCAGAATAAGGATTCAGCACCAGAAATTAGAAGGTGGTGTTACTTTGAGTCTTAAATTACGCCTTTGGGGCACAATGAGCTTGCATCCTTTGCTGTAGAAGGACTGAAGGAAGAAAGGATATAACCGGAAAGGACATAAATAATGGAAAATAGTACATTAAATTTTACTAGTTGCCCATAAAAGCACACAGCTAATGAAGTCTTCTGTAATGAGTAGCAGCAAATTTTGACCATTCATTGGAATGAAAAACAAGACCCAAGAGTCTCTTCTTTAGCTGCTTTGCTTAAATGAGTTATCAAC